ATTAACTGCTTGCTGTAAAAAGGCCAAAAATTTAGCTGTTAGGCGTAAAAATTGACAAATTTCAATCGTTAGTCGTAAGAAAAGTTAACTTTAAAAAAAAGTTCTGGTTACCACAATTAATAGAATTAACCGTCAGCCGTAAATTGGCCAAATTTTAACCGTTAGCGGTAAAAGCCATCATCTCATCGAGATGCTCAAAGTTATGTCAGTTTGCGTGAGAGTATTGGCCGTTTGCGCGTCCCAATCTTCTGAGGAACACTCGGGCAGGAGGTGCCCTCCTTATATCAGGGTACTGAGGCGAGGATACTGCTGAAATCTCAGGCTAATGGAATGTAATACTTGCTTGTCCTGTCAATCCGTCTCTGTGTTTTACAGACCCTGGCAACGTTTTATCGTAGTTAAAAGCTTTAGAAAACCATCTAAAAAATCGTGACCACAGCCCTTAATTGAATGTCCTTGGGTTGCAATTTGCTCAAGGGTTTGTACGCATTCGGCACACTTGAGCCGGCTTCTAAAAAAATGGATACAGTTGGAAAACAAACCAAATTCTTGACAATCTTATCTCCTTTGTATTTTCCGCAGTATTTAGGATAATGGGCTGAGTCTTAGCTGAGACTTTTTGTCGACTCATGCACCCATATACAATATTGTGTACATTCAAAAGCACTTCAGGCCAGTTTTTCCTTTTTTAGACCTCGTGCCTGAAGTGCATTACTCAGCGGGAACAACCTCTAAGCGAGTCTTCAAGCTAGTATAAACAAGTCAAAAATAAATTTAGTCCAGGAGAACTTTAAAAAGCTCATAATATTTCTATTTTAGGGAATATGCCTTAATTTCAGAGCCAGGAGGTCAAATAAAGGAACGCTTGTTTGCGCGTTTTCTACCGTTGCCCTCTTAATCGTCACTTGACTGATCATTCCTCGATCGAAATTAATTTTAATTGCTATTTATAATTTCTTGACATTTATGGACTATTTTTATCTCAAGGTGTAAGTTATCTAAATTTGGTAAGGGTTGGGAAAATATTTACATGTTGTTGAGGAGTTTTGTTCGGTTCGCAGAACGATTTTTTTACATTCATAAAGAGCACACCTATTAGATTTTGAGATTAGTTCTTTAGTTGGGGTTTTAACTAACTCATAACCAAAAGATCAGACAAAAGTTCAAAGCACTCTTTAGCTGGGAAGCATGGGAGTCATTTACCGAAATAAGTGTGGGTTTGAAACTACATTTTTGAGGAACTATAGTAGAGCTAATATGCTCACCAAGTACTGTTGTTTTTTTGGCATTTTGAAGAGTTTGAACACCAAAATACTGGAAAGGATTGCCAAGAGTGATTCCTTCTCATAAAACGCCTTTTCACTGATTTAAATGTTGGAAAAATTGAGACTTCAGGGGATAAATAAGCATTTAGTTTGTTTTGTAGCTTATCTATAAGCTTACTCACGTGTGATGATGACAGTTTCTGATAGTTGGTTCCATTATCTACCAATTCAGAGGAGTGAGAGGGATTTACGTCATCACAGGAGAACCTGACGTCCCCCACTGCGCCGGTCAAGGCCAGCAACAACACGTGGTTGAGCGGCTGTAAGTGAACTTTACGAGTTTGTTTTGCTCATTCCTTAACCTTTGTATCAGCTTGTAGTAAACAAGGCCGGCTGATCAATAAAAGTTACAAATTTACGCCGACGACTGAGTGGAAAGCACTTATATCTGCTGTTTCATAATCACTTTTAAGACTCATTAATCAAGTAAGCTGTATCGGAAGATGTTACAAGCCAATATATTTATAAGAACTCAGAGGACGGCGACACATCATAAAAGCAACTCGCTTGATCAAATTTTTCATTGAAGGCGGAGAACTGCTGCCGTCAGAATTAGTTGGTGGAAACGTAAAAAACGCCGCCCATCTAAACTGCCATTTACGCCTCAGAAGATACACAGGTAAGCATTTGCCGGTGACAATTCCGTTGAAATCAAATCATTTATAGTTGATATGAATCGTGTGGGTGCAGTTGATGAATTGAAAAATCGTTTCTGCAGAAGTATTGTTTGTATCAGCGCAGATTCACCCATGGCAAGAGCGGTGCGAATCTCAAATCGGCGCACTTTACTCAAAGTAAAGCAAACTTTTCAAGGTTATTTTCTTGAAAAAGGAAATAAGTTTAACAAAAAAATATTTATCAAAGCTTTTGTGTCAACGTTTGAATGGTTCGCCTCAAGAAGTTAACCGCGCTTCAAGGGGTTCTTTCCTGGCTCTTAAAGTCCTTTTAAGAAGTTTGTAAACAGCTGTATAATTTTGAGTACGTTACTCTTCTGGGATTTAAACTTTTCAGTAGTTATTGTAGAAGGATTTTACTTTCAATGGATTGGTTTAAAATTGGAAAGATCATTTCGGCTGGAACAATATCAGAAAATGGAAAGTAGGTAAAACCTCTTCGGAATTTATCGGGCTTCGCTATTGATGCAAACTGCACGAGTTAACGAAATAAATCAGTAGTAGGCTTATTTTACTTCTGACTACATAGCTCTATGTTCAAATGACCACACAGAAGCGAATGAAACCGGATGACTGATGTTTCAAAGAGCATAAATCTAATGCGGACTGTTCCTATAGCTTTGAAGCTTTCCCTTTGGAATACTCCAAAGAATTCCAATCGTGTAGAAATATGGAATCCTCAATAAAATTCCTGTAAGCGGTCATTCCACTTCAAATATAAAGAAAGTGATTCTATCGATATTGGTCGACAAAGTTTTCAGTCGAAAAGGCTTATTCTGAAACATTTGGAAAGTTTGCCTCGCCGTAAAGTTACAGTGCGCATTGAACGAATTGAGGTGCAAAGAAATAAATGTAAGTTGAGACAAAACTATCCAGTAATTTATTAGTGTTCTGGCGAAGTGCCAACTCACTCCTTAATCCTTCCTATTTACCTCTACAATTGTTGTAAACCACTTCACAATTGCTGTTGAGCAATATTGAGACACCAAGTTCATCCAATATTTCAATACGCACGCAAGTCGGGGCAAAATTTATCTAGGGTACGTATATACACAAATATATCTTTTGAAAGCGTCACATGACTAGTTTCTCCCGGAGCCTATCAGTTTTATCAGTTTCAACAGTTTTCAGGAAGTCAATATTCTGCCCTATCAAAATTGTCACATCTAACTAAATTTCGTATGGCGCTAAGCTGTATTTGTTTGTTTACTGGATCATTAAGCTTATTATCAAACAAAAATTAACATCACGGGATATTCGCTTATGTAGCCCCTTAGCGGTGTCAAGAAGGCAAAAGTCAAAGTGAACCGACAATTTGGCGGTCTTTTTGGTCGCCGAGAATGCAGAGAGTCTGGGGACGAGCTCTATAGTTACCGTGGCTAATTACTTCACACTGGTTTCTCCTTATATTTGTTAATGCCTGTAAAACTATTCTGTTTAGCATAGAAAGAATAATAGTGACGTCAGCGTTTACAAAATTGAAGTTTAGACTCGAACCAGACCTTCCACGTCAAAGTGGCGTCATATATTAGATCTTCTGCACGATGGCGTCATATACTGAAAACTCACCCCCCTCTCTCCCCCAGCTTCGTTCGCATTTCAATCTTAATGAATCTTGGCCGCTTTCTTGTTGTAAACGTGTGACGACTTTTTTAATTTTTGGTGTCTTGGGATTACTCCCTAATAAAATTTCATCCGTCTGCACCTTGGGGGTGAAACTGTGTATTCTGACGTAAACATGCAGAAGGCCTATTGAGATGTGGGAACAAGATGAACTTATGACACTTGGGATTATCTTTTTAAATGGGGTCAGCGTTGTCAAGTGAACGCCCTCAGGCTTATGGCTTTATCAATTCTCTTTAACCTTCTGCTGGACATTGTATTGATTCTGTAGGGAGAAGTTACGCTAGTCATCACTGGAGTGAAAGCATTAATAATTTCTCTCTTACTTCCAGATTTAATCAGCGATGTCTGTAAAGTGGTTTGTTCTCACTTTCATACTAGTGCTCTTTTGCTCGAAAACCAATCACGCCGGAGCAAAGAGCGATCGAAAGCTGATGAAAGATGCTCGAAAAAAATCTCTTGAAACTCTCCAACATGCCTCCAATCTAAAGACAAGCTGGTGCATGGCTACAGATATCGAACAATCTATTCAAGAGGAGGGCTGCGAAACGAAAGTCATTCAGAACAAAGCATGTGTCGGCCAGTGTTTTTCATACTACTCACCTGGAACTTTCCCTATGAGGTCTGCAAGAAGAAGGACAAAGTACTGCTATTTCTGCAAACCTTCTTTAAAAAGCTGGACCAAAGTGAGTCTGGAATGTCCTGGAAAGGAGCACAATCAAGTGGACAAGCTGGTGGAAGTGATATACGCGTGCTCGTGCAGGAAATGCTCGAAAGGCCCAAAAAGTTCAGAAAACTCATCAAGATGAGATTTAGCAAGATTTTGATTAATCTGATAAGTATGAGTGAGAAATTTGATAGTTTAAAGTTTCGGTGACAGGTCGCTTTCTAGAAATTTTCAAAGGCAGGAAATCGCGGAAAAGGAGAGATTGAGTGTGATTTTATGAAAGGTTTTTTTTGACGGGGATGGGGAGAGGGGTGGGAAGGCGAAAATTGGGAGATTAGACAGGATAAGACCGATCACCAGAACCTATTTTACCATTTGTTTATGCAATATCAATGGTCGTGGATGAACAATTCTATATAAACCACTAATTTATAATGGTAATAGGACCGAGTGGACTCCAGTTCGATCTGTAATCATACGATCATACGATCATACGATTAATTAGTAAACTTGGACAACCGCGCAGCGGGAGTCCAATTTGTCAGACGAGTATGATTACAAACAGAATTGGAAGACAAAAAGTC